TTTTGCCGAGGATTGTCAACGTAGTTCAAGATTGATCGATCAATTCATGGATGTTTCCTCAAACCCAACATCCCCATAATTTTCGCGGGTCATCAATCTGCCAGTCATCGTCTTGTTGGCTGCTTGTCAGAAACAAGAGAGAAAAAACTGTCAGAAATAATATCGTGATTTATTGTCGTAGTGTTTGTTCTCAGACCTTAGTCTGTAATGCAAATAATTCTGGTTATATGTTGGTTTTAGAATAAAGAATTCTCGAGTCGCCAACCTGTGTTCTGGATTTTACGTCCGTTAATACTGAGCGTTTCTGAGTATCTTCGATGGACAGTGTGAGGCCCAGCGTAGCAAGAGCTGGGCATTAACGGTTAATGAGACGTGACTGACATCCTCTCTCCTCTTCTATTGGCTTCCAGGTGTGTGTGTGTGCCTGTTGAGAGCCACTCGCTGCCTTGTCTTTTTCCTTACCCCCGAAACACATACACATTTCCGTGAAAATCACCTCCTGAGAGCTCCAATGTTATCCCACACTGATTTCCTCAGTGATGCAACACCACATAGTGTCTCCAACTTTTCTCTGATATCTTTAGAGGAGGTCATCTGTAATTGCGTGCTCCAGTTTATGAATGTTGAACTTGGATTAAAGTGGTCAGTCTCCAGTTGTTTTCAACGACTTCAGCTTCCCCGTTACGTTCCTTGCACTAGGTGATAGTCGGAGCTCACGCCTGCTCTCCTTCTCGACTTTATGTCTAGTAGACTGTCTGCATCTCCACTTCCTTGAGCAGCATTGAGATGAATTCTGTTTAATTCTTGGTCTGTACATGAGGTAAAATTCATGTTGCCTTGTTCATATCCTCGTGTTTGTACACGCTCCCACCGTTCACTAAATATCTGGAAGCTCAGAATTCTGTGAATAATTCTCTGTTCTCATTCATTTCTCTGAGCCAGTGCCTCTCAACCCATGATAAGTTCTCTCTCGGTATTATTTTCCCCTAGTTCCATGGCCATTCAAATCGCCCATTACTATTTCAATGTCACCATTTGGAATGTTGTCCATTACTGTTTCTAGTTGTCTGTGAAAATCTTCCTTCTTGGCTTGTTCCGCGTTGTTTTTAGCACTGTGCATAGCAAAGGATAATTGTAACCTTCCTTCTCTCCTTTCAGTTGAATCTTGCTATCATGATCCTGCAGGGGAAGATTGGTTCCCACTGCATTATAGCCTAAGCTACTGCATGCGGCATCAATACAGCCGCTTACTGCCTTACTGTGGTTGTCATCTGGGTGTCCGGAGTAGATTATCGACTCTCCAGTTGACAGTTTTGTCAATCAACCCACGTTCAATCGGCTTTCGCAGATAACCAGTACTTCTAGGCAATATCTTCGCATCTCTTCGGCTGCCTGGACAGCCTTTCGAGCACCACACATTATACGTATATTCCACGTTCCTATTCTTATTCTTGTTTTCATTGACAGAAGACACAACGCCTGGCTGACTTGCTTTCCGGACGCTCTAACCAGTCCGCGTCATTTCACTTCTCTGATTTGAGCGGAAAATAGGACTGTTGTTAATTAAAGCTTTTGTATTTTGAATACATATTTTGCGCGCGTTGAAGTTTCTCCGGCGCTTTGATAGTTTTAGTAGTGAAGAGTTTCTAGCCCTGCGCCTAGCCCTCCCTCTTGACCGTAGCATGGGATTAGCTAGAAAACCAGAAAGGTTGTCCACTAGCCGAGGTTCACTCGCAGTCACCAAGTTCTTTTGCTGAAGAGCGTGATATTTGGACACTGTTAACTGCAAGCGTGACATTCATCTGCTCCTTTGAACATTCCCTGCAGAAATGTAGTCTAGTGAAGGCCATTGTGTTTCCTCTCGAGAACTTTTGTGCGAACTGCGTGATATGCTGTTAGTAGGGTATGGTGGATACCCATATCCACATAGTTCGATTAGTGGATCTAATCAAAATATCCAACAAAGAAATAATATTATTTTGAATCGCAATGCAGCTGACGCATACTCCAATGCAGCAAATGAATTACATCTCGTGAACAGGCTGATGCGATGATATGTATGTAGGGGACTTATACTAGAGTTCACTAACATTAAAATATAAGAATAATAATCCAAGTCAATGGAGTGTTAAATAACAATATATTACCAAAAATGCAGTGACGAGTTATATCAACAAAAAGGATTACTTGGATATAAAGTCTAAGTCCTCTGCTACAAATTATGTATATAATCCACGGGTACGGTAATTGATTGGGTTGAGTCTGCTGTAGCTGCTGTGTTCCGGTTGTAGAAATGTCTTCGGTTGAGAGTAGTAGACTCCTACAATAAATCCGAAGTATACAACACGGTGTGAGTTGAGTAAGTAAGCAGAAGTGACCAGGGAGAAGACGAAGTCTCCAACAGCAGAGAGTATTTTTCAATTGTACACGGAAGTTACGTATATTTCAACAAGAAGCGTTTTAAACAAAAATTATGTACAATATCTCGAATTTATACAAATAACCAAAAAGTGTACAATCACATTGTTACGTACTCCACATGTATAGTACTCTGCTTTTAAACGCAGTTATGTTTATTTAACACATTTGGCAAGCTGCGTATGAACTAGAAGTTTAAAGTACTCAATAGGATGTATATTCGAGTACCGATGTAGTCAAACAAACATTAGCGCTTAACTTATCATGAATTGTCCTGGACCACCCGGACCTAGAACGGCGATGTTTCATATGACGTGGATGTTTTCAAGTATTCTTTCAACCACTTAACAGCGGAAATTAGTAATCAGGTCGAAAGCTGATTAAACCTAAGGCTAACGATTCATAGAATTCCTGTGTTTTTGGTGTTCAAGCGTTTCCATAGAAAACCTTGGTTACCATAAAAATGGAGAGCAGTGAATGTGGAATAAACTAGAGGTTTCAAACTTATAATTTAACCAGATATTAGATTAACATCTGCGTTGACAATCTTTTCAGGCAAGTCGTATAATCAGAAGGCCACAGTGTATTCTAAAGCTTAGTGGAACTCCTTGCTACTTCATCTACTGAGCACTCTGTCGTTTTGCTACCTCGTGGCATTGAACACGAATATCTAAGACGACCTTTTGATAAAAAAAAGAAATTTCCATTGATTTATGCAAATCAATGAAAACATTTCTTGGTAACATCATATTTCTGTTATTGTATGTTAAACTGTATGTTTGTTTATATCGTCTGTTGGTTTGCGTGAGAATTCAATCTAGGTGAGCTTTCTTGTCAGTATTCGTGCCCACCATTTGTGTCCTTCCTCAGTCAAGTAACCTGGTGAGTAATTGGTTGTTTTTCATTATGTCACACATACCTAGCTACATAACGAAATGTTATCGGAATTTCATAGCTCACGGTTTATCTTGCAGAACTCAATCAGAGTAGATGCAACTGATTCTTGAGAATGTTGGTATATTCCTCAGAACAGCTTTTGAAGCGTTAGAATCAGAAACGGGATAATTTTCTTTAGAATGTCACGCTGGGTTTCTCAGACTTCGTTAAGATGACTCTCCCGTAATTTTAGGAAATACGGTCAGGTTAACAAAAGATGTGGGCATTTCTTATTAATTAGGATTTACTTAAATTCCAATTATGATAGTAACATTTGTCTGACCAATCTAAAGTCATTCATTTGCTCGTTCATGGGGATCACCAGTCTTAAATGTACTACCTGTAAGTTTTGAGTGGCGCATATTCACTTTTTGTGCACAGTCACCTTATTGCAATGACAGTAGTTCTTGACTGTATATAAGGCTGGTTTAACATATACGCTTGTAAAATTAGCTGAGCTGCATTATACAGGCTGGAGCATGATTATACATCTGTTTGACTACATCAAGCAGAGGCATGAAAGAGCGTTGTGTAAATAAGCATATTATATTCTTGCTTATATTCCATGCTTCGTATTTTACACTAATCAAGCAGTCTAGTAATGTACATTGAGGATCTCCCAAAATGTGGTAGAACAATAGGTGAGACAGTAATATTTTGTCAATCCGCACGGATAAACTAACTGGTTGTTGACTGTGAAACGTCTGAGTTCCATTTGATTTGACAAACTTCTTTGATCTCCCACAATAGATTTGTACCAAACCCCACAGTTTGTTTAGGACTTGCATTTCATGTCTTTTTTGCATTATTATTAAGTATTTCTGACTGACAATATTACAGAGGAATTTCTAGATGTGTGTTCCCCTGTTTGGTGGTGATTCAGACAGGTTGAGATGTCATTTAAAATGATATCAAATATTGACCGATTAGCTTAGAGTGAGAGTTGTGCGATAGACTTCAATGAATCCTCCGTGTCCACCAGTCGGTTAGTTATCGCCAGGTATTCACATTTCCACATTTTTAAGGTTGTTTAGATCTTTGTGGTGTTTGATTAACTGCATGTGAAATGCAGCGGTCATTTATTTTGTCAAATGTGCATGCATGTGTGTATATGTACACAGTAGACAGTTACTCTGAAAACTGAAAGTTTCAATCTGACCCTATTGTTAGTTTGTCCATTACATCTTCATAGCCTGTCTTGATGTATTGAAACGGTTAACATAAATGCAAACTATGAAGTCTTTTAGCTGGCTACTTCAGTTTGAAGGTGTAAATTGTGACTGTGTACCCAGCTTTTCACATGTCACTATCAACAATATGACGAGTTAATATCAGTAAAAAGTTTGAGCATTGTGGATTAGATCAAATAAAGTATAATTACATTTTAATAGTTTACACAGTGATAAGTTTTGTTGTTGGTAATTTTGCTCGAAATATTACCAACAGCAAAACTTATCACTGTGTAAACTATTAAAATATAATTATACTTTATTTAATATGACGAGTGTTTTATCCAGATGTCAATTTCTTCACTTGCTAATGTGTTACGATATCTTCCCTTCGGTTAATTGGGATGATTTAATTTATGATTGTAATCACCGATTTATGTGACTCGTAGTTGTGAAATACGTGTAACTTTCAGTGTTATGTACTGTGAATATTTAATTTTAGAAAGAATGATGATCTGTGAACATTGTGAAAGAGAATTCACACGGATAAGTCACCTTAAAGAACATATTCGAGTTAAACATGAAGGTTAGTTCTTAAATGGTATTCAATAGTTCTCTACTTGCATGATAATGTTTGTTCTTGGCGAACATTGAAATCAATTTGAAGAGTACGAAACAGTTAGCCAGTTAGGTTAGAGACGGATAAGTCAAACACATGTGGCTTTGCCATATGTTTGCATTTCTCACGCGTAAAACCTTATTCTATTAATATTGTTTTATTCCTTTACGTTCCCAGTGGAATCCACTTCTCACAACTTCTCACCAGAACTGAAGACAGGCATCTCCGTCTTGAAGCCAGTCGCTGGCGAGCATCGGATTAATTTTCAAGATTTAGTTTGTAGGGCTTTGATTTGTTTCAAGTTTGACCACGCGCGGATTGGTATCAGTTAGAGAACTACTAAAAACCAAGAAGCAGCTGATCAGCAGTTTAGTACCAGTTTTCAATGGTTTTCTAATTTAGATAAAACTGTGGTCAAACTTGAAAGAAACAAAATCCCCACAAAATGACTTTTATTTATTTTACTGTCTTACGTTCCCAGTGGAACATAGGCTTCAAGCTAGAGCTGAGAATTTTTCGTTAGGAGTGGTGTTTATTTTCACGGGATGGTGTTCCTAGCCTCATGTTCAACCTTTTCTCTTTATCGGTCTTAAAAGGGCACTTGGGAGGTTAAGGAATGAGTCGGCTGGGGACCGAACCCCGGACCACCTGTGTGGTTGGTTGAGTATTCTACTGTTGTGCCAACGACGCAAATGCGTGAAATTTACCACAGCTTAATACGATCTGATGAGGATATCTCGAGAGGTCGAGTGTAGTCCAGGAATTTTCAGCTATCACTGATTATATATATATGTATATGTTCTTATACCAAGGTTATACTTCTTGATATATTCTCATTGCATTTACTCACAAGGCAAACTTTTCGAGTGTGAAACGTGTCACAAACAACTGAAAACATATAAAGGACTACAGATACACAGAAAACTTCATGAAGGTATGTAGATGTTGATGCCTTTAATTTTCTTTTATATTTCACCTATTCAATGTGTTGTTTCCTTTTCCTCTTTATTATTGTTATTCTTGTGTAGCTGGTGCACATTATATGTTAGTCTTAATCTGTACAAATGAAATTGTGACTGATTGTTTATGGAGATGTGGTTCATTAGCCAAAGCGATCTGCTGCTTGTGTGTGTGTGTGTGTCCTCTTCCTCCCACTTCAGCCTGGACATCTGGATAACATTATCATCACATAATACGTTAGAGGTGGCGTTTAGTTATTCCCTCAATTCTTGTAAGGAGAAGGCTAGGGCTTGAATAACAGCTCCTTGTAGAGACGGAGAAAGGTCTGTACTAACTAACTGACATGAAATTGCTGTCGCACAAGAGTGAGAAAATAAAGTTTGGGAGATCCTGTACATCCACTTTGGTGTGAAGGCGCTCTAACTCTATGAGACTTCCCTGCTCCGTCAAAAATACAACACCTAATATTATGTTCCATGTTATTATTGCTCAGACAATAATTGAGTGAGTACAGGCAAAATGTTACATGGCGACTAGCAAACAAACTTCTTCAGTGACCTTTTAAATTGCTCCGTTCGCGATGACTAATTCTTGTCTTCTGGTTTGGAGATTAGGGCATGCTCTCATTTGCTGCAAGAACCCTGTGGAGATAACGTAGGATGATAGTCCTGTGTCAACCAACAACAAGGCATTTACGCGGTTTACTAATCCTTCAAGCATAAATGGGTACTGAGAGCATTGAGTTGGAGATGGCACATTAAAATCTGACTCACCGGAAGCTTTTGCTTTGTTTTGATCATATTGCAAGGCTTTGCAATCAAACTTCTCAGAATAAGGACACATTTAGCATGAGATGCATGGGCTAGAATCCCCCTCGAACTGTTATTTAAGCCTCGGATATGCCTGTGCATAGATTTGTGCTTGCTGAAGAGTGTCCATAAAAGATGATTTGTGATTTGTGGAGTACAACGTGTGAAACATTATTTTCGTGGATACAGACTGCACTGTTGTGCGTAACAGGTGACTTCTCGAATCCTGCTCATTTTAAAATGGGGGCGAAGAAGTTCACGTATCCCTTCCTCGGCTGCTTCTTGCTTCTGTTGTTCATACACAATCAATCTTTGATTTCGTCAATTCACAGATTGGTTTATTCTCCTTGTAGACTAAATATCACATGTTATTTTCCATTTGGATGTCTGTTATACAATAATGATTGTTGTTATTTAGCTAGTATGATAGCAGTTAGTAGAGTTGTCCATTTCTCCATATCATTACAGACAGGGGGATATAAAAACAAGGGCTGATTATCTTGTTACTGTTCATTAAAAGACACGTTTAGTGCTTTTTTGGAACTTTCATCTTATTCTGGAACCCATGAATAGTTGTGTATATATGTGTGTGTGTACTGCGTAATGCTGAATCGGTGTAGAGTTGCAAATGCATAGGGTAATTCAACCAATGAATTGGTAGATTTCCATCGATTGAGGTGGCTAGATCGAGTCCGTTCTTTGTTCACTTATCAATGTTACCTGGATTAGGATTAAGTTAATGTGAATATAGCCAGATCAAAAGATGATAACACATCATGAAGAGTATACACATTGGGTCATAGGAGTTAATTAAGAAGACAATTGCAGCGAAGAAAATTTTCTTTTCGACGAAGTCATCATCTAGACTGTACATTCGTGTATTTATATCAAATGGATAGGAAAGTTCCAGAATAATATCCGGTCAAGGGTCAAATTAATTGAAATTAAAATTAGGGATTAGAATGCCATAATAAACAGGGGGATGGATACAACAAACAAATTAGCAACATGATAGCTAAGAAGATTGACATTGTGCATTTGGGGGTTAGAAATGAAGAAATAACAAAATAGACAGGATGTTTGGATAAGAACTAATGTGATGAATAATTGTTTATGCAATCAGTGATTAAATGTGTAGAAGTAGTAAAATGACAAAATAAACATGAAGTTCGGGTATGAAAATATGGTAGTGTAAACATGGATTAAGAAAAACTTAAAATAACATGAATGAACAGGAAGTTTAAGTAAGAAAGGCGATGGGATGGTCATTACTAAAAAATTTTTCTGTATTCAGAGACAAGTTAAATTTTTCATGACTGGTTCATTAATGATTCCTCCCCTCTCAGATATCGGGTTCAAGTGTGAAGAGTGTGGTGCGAAATTCACGTATAAATCAGATTTTGATAAACATTTCAGAGCAATGCACACAGGTGAGTGATGATGATAATCGATACTTCATGTGATTGATTATTTGTGTATACTTTTCGCTTAAATGTTTAAATTATCAAATTGTCGAGTCTGTCTAGTGTAGTGGAATGTGCCTCTATCGCTTCACACTTACCGCTGTTCTACTGTGCTTGAAGTCATTCTGAGCATCAAAGCTCTAAGTGAATGCGAATACTGCATTCAAATACTGCACACTTCCTTTGACCTTATCACTCACTTAGTTCTCTATAAGGCTGTGCACGCGTTCAGTATTTATTGTGTGTGTGTGTGTTGCATATTTGTGTATGAGGAGATTGACGAGTGAACTGAGTGCTTATCAATATTCTACTAGGTTGATTTCATTGATTTAAGCACCCCATGTCAACACTTAATTTTACACGAGTGTCCAGTAAATCAGTCGTCCATATTGTGCTCGACTTGATGAACAGTGGCCAGTGAAGTATTCTGGCCAACACTCGTATAGAGATGCATATTCGGTGACTGTTGAGCAGTTAGTTCAGTTATTACAAGACAATGTAAACAGTACTCTTTTTCCCCCACTTTTACACAGGTTTGAAGTATGACTGTTCTTACTGTCGGGAGAGTTTCAGTTGGAAGGAGACTTTAAACGAGCATATACAATCTGTGCACGATGGTAAGCATTTTGATGGGTTTTGTTTTTTTAAATCTCGGATCTAAACAAAGAGTAATCTCTCGTCGTCACTTTTATTATTTATTATTCTTACAATTATACATCCGGGTTGATTATTGGTGATGGTACTAGTACATTTAGCTCCAAATCACCAAAGCTTTATCTAGTCGAGACTATTGACTCATGGAAGCTATATGCTGTACACAATTTTTAGTTCAGTGTCACCTGCGTAAGTGTGAGTTCAGTGGAGAGAAAATTCAGCGAGAAATGATCATTCATAGATGAACTATTATAAAAGATTTTTGGATTTCCTAATGAATGTAGGACAAAACGATATTGCTGTTTTTACTGAAGTCTTGTTACTTAATGGCACTCAATGGCACAATCAAAGTATTATTCAACCAGAATGTAAAATATCTCAGCTTTGAGGAAATTGTGTTTGTGCTGTTGTCAAGTTGACCAATTGGTGAAGATAATAAACACCATTTGTATGTATACTGTTGAATTTGATGGGTGTTGATTTTGTCACTTCATGGGAGAATGCTGGGTGTTACAACTGGGTCAATTTCTGTTTTTACTCCATCATTTCTTCGCATCAGACAATTTGAATTCTATTGGATATAAAGTAGTGAGCTTCTGAGGATATGAGAGGTTCTTTGTGATTTCTGGAATTTTCTTCTGAATTATTCCAATATTAACAATTCAATATCGTCTTCATTTATTTTGACTTCCTTGATTTCTCCCTTACGATGCTTATCGCATCATATTCCAAACACCTTATTTCATAGACACATAATTAAATTCAGAACCCTCCGGAATCTGGTCTTTTACATGGACAAGGTTGCTTTGTAGTGTGTGTGTGTGTGTCTGATGTTTTAAAGGTAACCTTGAAGTTGTGTTAATTGAGCCCTTTTCTCATATTGTCTAACGTTACTGATCTATATGGAATGACAACTAATGAGGTGCATCCGTGTCTTCGGAATACGTTTTCGATCATATTCAATGTTGTTGTTGTTGTTGAGGTTGATTTTGTTAATGAAGTTCCTTGGATAGGCATCCTTCTTGAGAGTTTCATTTCCTTTTCATCAGTTGTCAAATAGTCTGTCCGTCTAGGAAAACTTGAAACAAGTGACACCTTTTCACTTACGGAATGTTATTATTATTATTATTCCGGTGGGTTCCGAGTGGAACATAGGGCTTCAACAAAGCATCTCCACCTTCTTCTATTTACTCCTGTCCTCTTCAGCTGGGTCTACGATTGCCTGTAATCTCTCAGCCTAATCTCGCCCTATCCCCTCCATGTCATTATGGATAAGATTTTATTTTGATAAATCACACAGTGTTGTACAGTTTTATTGACAGTTAACAGTTAATATAACTGTACAACACTGTGTAATTTATCAAAATAAAATCTTATCCATAATGGAATTATACTCTACCACAGTGCCCAAGTTTTTTATACTCCTTCATGTCAACCTCACATCGATGACCCACTCGTCGCTTCTCACTTGGATTCCACTAGACCTTGGAATGTGACGATCCGAAGTCTAAATATTTATCGGAGTGTGTTTTCGCCTCCTGAATATGGATATATGCATCGTCAGGGTATCTTAGTCATACTTTAGGTGTGAGTATGTTTCAAACGATGTTATCTTCAAATGTATTCATGAAAACGTCAGCGATTATTGGAGAAACTGGTGTCTGTCTATGTAGTTTCCCTTTAAAATGTAAAACAATTACTTTCTAGACAGAATTTTAAGCTCCTAATTATTTCATTGTTGTCCAGTGGACATCTTTCTGATAGGGTTGTATCTGATTCTAGTAAAATGAGGGGGTATCAAGACTTTTGGCAATGGGAATGTTAGTATATAATGAGTTGATGGCATACCTTACCATAACATCATCAGTTTCCTGTCTTTCTCTTTCTTCGATTTGAAATCAAATGAGTCTTTTGAAGCATTTGGAGTGTGTTTTTTGGAGTGCTTTCAGTATCGAAGTAATCATTTTGTTTTCCATTCTTTGGAAAATACAAAAAGAACCTTCATAATGATGAATAGCATGTACCTATTGCCAATATTTTTCCAAACTGCTGAAAGTGAACTTAGTTTTGACATGCATATCACAGAGAATCCGTATACTTGTTAGTTCCCCCAGCTCCGTTTTACCATGGATGGATGAAATAATATGTCTAAGTGTTGTGCGTAGAGCATTCCACAGAAGGGTATCGATCTACCTTGGTAGGCTTGAAGGAAGGGGGCACTAAAAAGATGGTGAGCAGAAATAGAATGATGATTTCAAGATGTGTGTATGAGGCAGGACATTTCAATGAATAGTGTCATCTGGAATTTCAAATACGATAGAGGATGGATACGTTTGAAGCATAGTGAACTATATAAACACTCGTGTCAAGCATTGGATTCTGACGTCTGTCACGAAGTGACGCGAAGATGACTGTTTGTGGAGCTGGGACTAACAGCCATGAATAATTATATGTCATGCTTTCCTACCTCATTCTGCTTCAGATGAAATTTTCGATTGAGAAATGTAGTCATATGGCATACACAGTGTATGTATGTGTGTGTGTGTGTCTCCACACCATATGAGCACATGAGTCCTAGCTATCCTACCTGGTTCTCTATGCCTGCCATGCTTAAACCTTGCTGCACCTGTTGACAGTTTAGCACTCACATCGTAACACTATTGTCAGTCAAGCGCAAGAATGTCACATCAATCATGGGACTAAGACACCTAATTTAACAAAGCCTGTCTATTCATTCATTCATTCACTGATTGCTTTCATTCTCTGTCTTTTATTTTGTTGTCTCCACACAATAAGGTTTATATTTCAATTGTGATCAGTGCGATGAGTCATTCGTTCGGAAGTGGAATCTTCAAGAACATAAAAAGGAAGTTCATGAAGGTGAGTTATGCTTTAAGATTGTACAAAACTTCGATGATCGCTTGTACCGATTCTGACTTGGAATATCTACCTACACACCGTCTGAGTGAATAACCTGGTCTTTGAAATGATTCGGAAATCAAACGAAATGGTGATAAGGTGGGAAAAAATAAAGATTTCACTGAAATGAAGGTATTAAATGCTCACCACTTACACTTTCTCATAGTTAAACAAAATATGCCAGTGGTTGTTTGATTTCCTGTCTAATTGTCCTCACTCTTTTTACACGATATTCACAAATGTTCACATCATCTCTTATGAATTTCATGTCAGATAGCTTTTTCTGATGAGAAAGACAGGACCGGGTAACTGAGATTAGACACTGATGTGAGACGTATTTGCTTCCAGGATTCGTGTTGTGTTAGGCGTAGAAATTGACGGTTTACAAAGATTCTTCTCAGCTAACTTAATTAGTTTTTAATAACTGACAGTGACTTGCACTCATCTGTTGCGTAATTAATTGCTCTCACTGCATGCATAACGCTGATGTAATTAGACATGATAACTGGATTTAACAAGTGCTATGTTATGTCTGTAAGGTGTGTGTGTGAGAGAGAGAGAGATTTCTGTAAACACCATTGTGCTTAACTTCCCATCTTCTTTCTTCATTACTCTACAATCTAACATTGGAAGCTCACCTTCCTGACTTTCCAGTTTGTAAGTGAATTGAACTGTTTCCACTTTCGAGTTGATGTATTTTAAATGATGTGAATGTGTCATCTACATACCTCCACCATACTTTTTGTGTGGAGCTGAACAGTTGTGCACTTAGTAAACACTAGTTCATCAATTGAATAAATCTAAGACGGGTGTAAAAACAAGGCGTATAAACTAGACAATTAAAATATTATGAAAAGACGACCGCATTGTAAAAATTATTAGTGAATTCAATAAATAAATACTCGTATACTACAATTATATAAGAACACATTGAAGCGAACAACATTGTGCTTTCAATTAGATCTCATCAGGCTTAACTCTCCAATGTACCTACATAACTTTACAAATAAATATTCAAATATAAACCAGTCACGGTGTTTTGTCTATAGGATAGTAAGATGGTGGAGAAAACGAGAGCTTTCAAAGTAATTCACCTTATCCAACCGAATCTTTCCAAATGGACTTCGTATTGGTCTACTGCACACAGCTGAGGCAGGCGACAGGCATTCGAGCTATTAAATCTAAACTATGCATTCAAAAGAAGTTCGTACAGCCATTGTCCCTCCCGTGCTGGCCTATTAAGACTTTTTTCAACCTGCCGCCCTCCTCTCTTATCATCCCTTAATCTTATTACATCTTCATTGAAAACGTGTTTCATTTACTTCCCTTACAATCAGTCTAGCATTATTTGGTCGGTCCATTTGTTTTATCTTAGCCTTTTTCGACTACCACGTCTACCTGAACATTTGTTTGTTTAATCATGCTGTTTTTCATCAGTATCCGTGTTATCACAGATTCCCTCACTTTTTCATCTTTATTACTGATAGAAGCATTATTATTATTATTATTATTATTATTATTATTATTATCCACACCAGTATTATGACTAATTGCACAATTTATCTGCACCATTTTATTATCTTATCCTATAGACAAAACACCATGATTGGTTCCCATATTTTTTAATATTGATCTGTTAATTAGTGTAGGTATATATCAGCGTTAAACCTGATGAGATCGAATTGAAAGCATAATATTGTTCGCTTATATGTGTTGTCCTTAATTCGTTAAATATGACGGAGATAATGTCAGAGATAACTGCCGGAAATTGTTGTTCAAAAGTGAAGCTTCACTTATAACAACAATCCGCCTAATGTGAGGAGAGGATATACAAAAGTGGCGAAATAAAATGGAGCCAACAAATGGCTTATATGATAATGGCTGCATAAAATAATTCATGGAATGTATAAAACTTGAAAAAAGGTGTGTAGAATTAATAAGACTGGTAAGAAAGAGCGAGTGAGAGAGAGAGAGAATGAAATATTACGCAATATGGTGTGAATTTTGATAAGATTAGGAAAAATTATGTTACATTGGATTAGTTAAATCAGTCAATAAGGGGTGACAGACAGCTGCTGGTGATGAGACAGCACTGGAAAGTACTCAAAATAAAAATAATAATAATAATAATTACAGTCCAGGTGATACATGTCCAAACCAAGTTCACTTTCAACACAGTTTGAAACAATTTGGACATTGGGAGGGGGAGAGTATGATATTCATTATAATAAAGATTTTCTCGTATTTCCCAATGAATGAATGAATGGTGAACAAAACGACAACGTGAGTTTTGTTTTATATCCGGTGAGGAAATTTAAACCAAGGTGTGAATACATGAAATAGTAATAATGATAATAGTGTGAGATGCAATTAGAATATCTGTGAGTTAATTACACACACCCTTCCAACATCTACCTGTACATCCTATGACAGTAATTGTTTTGTCACCTGACACTTGATATCTAACTGTGATTATAATCACAAATATTTCAGTTGCATCTCATACCATTATTATTATTATTATTTTGTATGTTCACACCTTTGTTCAAACTACAATCTAAGCTAAGCAATAAGCGGAGATGGTTATAGAGACTGAATGAACGAAATCATATGCAAATATATCTAAGACAGGAATCATGAAGACAACAGTGGTTGAACAAACTTACCGTATGTGTATACAACAAAGCTTTGGCTTCACTATTTTCATGATCAAAACTTGAACAATACACAGATGACTCGGATACATGATGATTTTGACAGGGCTTCTTTTCGCCTTAGAGATGATTGGAATGAAATGACCAACGTCAATCATATGTTCACAATAATTAGGCTTCTTATAGCTTCATTTCCAACTCTTCTCACCGTCTTTGACAAAACCCGCTTGCTGAACATTGATTATACATTGTTGTAGTTTCACAGCAGATCATCATCTAATAATGAGCTGGTAAATTATTATTGTTATTATTTTCCCCTTGGGTATAGAGTAGAACATAGGGCTTCAACAACACATCTCCTCTTTGTTCTGTTTGCTGCTGTCCTCTTCAGCTGGGTCAATGATTGCCCATAATCTCTCATCTCCTCTTCGCACAATCTCCTCCGTGTCGCTGTCTGTACGTGAAATAATGCTGGCTGCACAGCTAGGTAAATCAATAGAGAAAGTAACCTCTTTGAAATTTTTCCCTCTGATGATGGTCGGTGCTGGTTGCTGCTGTTTTTCTTGTTGTTGTTGTTGTTGATTGGCTGTCTTCCTCACCTCCGTCTTCTTCATTTTCACCAGGAGTCAATCCAGTCTTCGCTGACTCCTTCCTCAGTCAGTTTGTTGGTTTTCACCTGCCTGTCTGTAAGTCTTCGAGTTTGTGTGACATTACACAATATAAATCATCAAATGCAGATTGTCTAGAGTTCTCTCACTCTCTCATGCATAGTATGGGTCTGGTAGGTAGGTAGCTAGCTGAAGCTCACAACTACATTTAGACAGTCTCAGCACCACATAACCAACAGATAGCTAACATGCCACATCTTTCTAGTTCTTTAAAATTAGTGACCAATGTATCAGTAGACGAGTTCTGGGCTACTTTCTTTTGTATTTTTTCATTTCTCACCTGAATAGATAAAACTGTCAGTTCACTATTCCCATTGTTATTGTTACTGTTATTTGTTCTCTGTATTTTAGGTCGAAAATTCGAATGTCCTGAATGTGACAAGAAATATGCTACTAAAAATTTTCTCAATCAACACGTGCAGGTGAAGCACAGAGGTTAGTATTGTGTGTTTGCCTGTGTGTGTGTGTGTGCGTCTTATTGTGTTGTACTTGGAGCAGCAGCCGACAAACCTCTGCTTTCTCAATCAGTATTCTGGATATTCATCAGTGTGGTTGACTAATATTCGATTGATCAGTCGTTGAATGTTGTTGTCCATTAAAGAACTAGTACAACATAGTTGAATTCAACATCATCTCCATGCAAAGAAGGAGAAGAAGAAGAATGTTGAATGCAGAATGAAAGCAAGGAGGAAAAATGAGAAATATCAGATGAGTAATTTGAGTTATTCATTGTCTGTCTGTCTGTCTGTATGTTTTCGACATAGAACTTTGCACCGATGTGCGGCAGCTCAACTCGCCACACTCCATGTAGCACACGAAGCCAGAGAAGAAAGTAGAAGAAATACGTAATAGAGACAGTAAACAGAGATGTGAGACAAAGGAATAGTAATAACGAAGAACAATATAGTTTCATTGGAAATCATAAGTCACAAGGAGTGGATGCATCTGCGCCAACAACTGAGAACGATCACTTTGAGTCATGTCACCAATTGTTTCCAACCATTGGTTTTTACCGTCCCGAGGACCCCAACCAGTCACGAAGTCTACACCTTCCTACGTCACTGACTTAGATTAACTGTTGTAGATTTCACTGACTGGTTTTGGTTTGACCGCGCTGGCTAGCTTTCCAGAATGACCCTATATCAGCTAACATTGCTCGTTGAGGAAAGCAATGACTAGGCATGTGACGTAACAAATGTCCTAACCATCTAAGTCGATGTAATTTCACAGCCTCGTCGATTGATTTCCCCTCCCACCTACCTAGCACTCGACTGAAGCCTAACCTCAATATTGCTCACCTTATTATACCACTTCACACGGGAGATAGAACGCAGGCACCTATGATCGAAGACAGCTAATCTTTTCATGTCTTCCACTCTCAATGGCGAGGTCTCACAGCCATAAAGGAGGACGGAGCGGACTGATGAGCAGTACACCCGCCTTTGGTCGATAGTCAGGTATCACGTCTACGCCAGAGACGGCGTCAACTGGTATATGCGAAACTAGCCCTATGTATGCGTGCTGAGATTTCGTCGAGATCAACCCGTTGGCACTGGCTGATGGTACTTCCCAAGTAAGTGAAGCGGACAACATGCTCTACCACTTCACTTCCTATTTCTAATCTAGGAGTCGGTGTAATCCAGTCCTGTAACATCATCTTACATTTGGCGGGAGCGAATCGCATGCCAAACATGCCAATCGTAGACTGCAGCTCAAGGTGTTTAGAAGACTCTGCTGGATTTTGTCAGCATCCTCGCCTAGAAGGACTACATCGTCTGCATATTCTAAGTCAACGAGATTATTCCTTGGTAGCAAGTCAATCCCTGAGTCGCTGAAGTGAGTTAGGGTTAAATCCATTAGTGCGTCTATGATGAAATTGAATAGAAATGGGGATAATGGGCATCTCTGACGGACACCACTCCAGGTGACAACTCGCAGTAAGCCCTCATCTGGCCGCATGATTTCGAGTAGAGTGCCTTCATCTGTGCAATATATTTTCTCAGCATTCCCTTTACAGACAAGCATCGCTAGAGAACCTCTCGGTCGACAGAATCGAATGTCGCCTTTAGGTCAAGAAATATCATGATTGTTGGACGCAGATATCGGTCGGGGAGTTATTCATTTGACTGTAATCATAACTGAGGCTGTATCAGTTGACAATGAACTAGAAATAATGTAGGTATGCAGGAGGTGCTTCAGGTGTGAGTCTATGATTTCACACAACAGCGTTTTGTTCCAACTGGTTAAAAATTCTCTCCCCTTCTAAGAGATTCCTACTACTACTACTACTACCATTTGTTATGTTTTTCAATTCTAACCTAACCTAAGCTTACCTGACTGTTTCTAATTTTCCTATATCTTTTTTGTTTGAAGGTATACATTTTGTGTGCAGCATCTGCGATAAAAAGTATGCCACAAAGTACCGATTAAACAGACATGTTAAAATGTGTAAAAAAATGTGAGTAACCTTCAGTTTTATTTTACTTCCTCTTTTTTCTACCAATTATCGGTTAAACTTGACTAATAGTATGTGTTGTATGTGCGTCGTGTGAGAGTAGTAGGAGCATTAGTGTTTTTTGAGGAGTGGAGTGTTGAGAATATTGATAACAATCGGAGGTGTTTTAACTGCATTTGTCTCGTCAGGATTATTACAGCCATCTGTTTTATGCCACTCTACAAATCGATTAGACAAAGTGTAGAAGAGTAAGGAAGGCATTCGCATGTTTGATGAGGTGATGTCAGGTGGGTAGTGGATATTTTGTGTATCAGGTCATTAGGAATGTATTCATGAGTTTATCGGACATCTTGTCAAATGATATTAAGTTAGGTTTTGGTTAACGGGTTGAAATTCAGTCCCTGCGAAGCTTAAATGTTCACGACTGCTTTGGCTTGATTATTTCCCAGCTAAGTTCTGCTCAGTGTTAGGAATTTCGTGATAATTAGAAAGCCTTTTGATTTATGACTTGATGTATAATTCGTGGATCCTGTTTATTTCACCTGTCTCATTTCTTTCTCCACTGGGTACATGTTGTTGCGTTCACTGGTAAATGTTTAGTGAAGACGAAACTGTGAAGTGTGTGAGGAATTGACTGGTATGAAAATAGATTTTGTGCAAACACAGCAGGAATGATTGTATCGACAGAAATCAGAATCCACTTGCCTCTGAAGTCCAACACAACGACGGAATGTTGATGTGTTATTCACGTATGACTCCTCACTAATCACGCAAGTGGTCCGGATTCGTGATCTCGGACTCCTGAATCTCACTTAGCCGGTGCCATGTCCCGGTATAAACAGGTGAGGTTGTGCCCTGGAGCTGACAATTCCATTCTCTGATAAAATGCACAACTACTACTAAAACGCTAAATTCTAAAGCTCCATGTTCCACTCGTAGTGTAAAGGAGAGAAAAATTATTGATTAATTCTGTTAGCTGAATGCTTTAATGGTGAAGTGTTCATCGCCAATATGTAGATAAGAATTTCAAATTAAAGTTAAGCCCTGTGAAATAAATCCCTGTAACTACTTTGTAATTGTAATCAGTAGTATGTATATATATCATTATCATTGAAAGGAAACAAGCAAATTCAATTGATGAACATATTTATTGCTATTATTCTTATTGTTATTGCAGAGCAGAAATGAACAAACGGAAGCAGACCGGTAAACGACAATTAGTCTTCTCCTCAACATCCAAACACCATTTCACCTGGTCAGTGTGATTATTTTGTATTCTTCTACAGCCATGCCAATAGAGTGTACAGACGATTCAGGCAGTATAGAGCGGACTGACTGATTGACTGGCTGGCTGGTTGGCTGAATGACTCTATAACTCTGCATAGTCAGATTTTGTCCTACAAGATTTGTACATGCATATTTTTGTAATATTTTTGTATTAAATAACGATGAGAGAGGTTGTATGAGAAATAAACTGTTATCGAGAGTTCTGTTCCTCTTACATTCATTCATCTGCCTTTTGGGCTTAAGATTTCCCATTCAGGTTACTGTTGGTCTTGTCGTCATCGTCTGGCTTTTACTCTCTCGATTGTTAATTATAATTAATTAACGACAACACAATAAGAAGACGTGTTCATTATCTGAATTGTGCAATGGATTTATTCGCGCAACACATTTCGGACACTCCAATCACACACACAAACAGACGAGTAATTGTCATACACAGTTATGTAGAAGGCAAGAGTTGGCAGACCAAGGTCACAAATAGTGGGTAGGGAGATGACGCAACGTTGTGGATAAGAAAATCAACCTTATGATCTATCTCTGTAATGTGCTTCGCGCTACAAATAATGTTGGCCATCTATTTCCGGATCAGTTGTATCCAGCGATTTTATTTGTTATTGCAGTCACTTTGGGACATGTTCTGTAGTCCTAACTTGCACAAACCAAGGGGTCCTCCCTATGTATGCATGTCCACACACACACTCCTTTGCGTCTTCGCCCTACCCATTATTTGTGACCTTGACCTGCACACAATATCACGTGTATTGTAATAATTCATGTTTTCTTGTTTTCCACATAACTGCATATCACGAAAAATACCCGTTTATTCATAAGTAAAAGCACAGTCTTGTTTTGTTCAGCGTGATTCATCTTTCAAGGTTATCTACAGGCCAAAATCGAATCGATCCAAAAGTTTACGTTTTCTTCACTTATGCACAGCCAAAGCTTTAGCTATACATGAACAGAAACCTAAATTATGTGTGTTCAAAAACATTTTGCGAAACCCTTTCTTTACCTTGGTCATAGTAATATTCTTTCTAGTTTTTATTTTATTATTTTACCACTTGAATTCATTCCACTTCACTCCAATCTTTATTCTTATCGTAATCGTACTCGTAATTTTTTAATTTTTAAGACAACACTTGACATTTTTAAAACATTTTTGACATCAATTCACTTATAAAACAATCTTTAATAATTCTGTAATTTATCCACTTCAACTCTACGCCTTATAACATTTTAATTATCGTTATTCTTATCACATATGTATATGTATATTGACTGAGCAATTATTTAGTGCCACTTAATAACTTTTTCTGTGTTATGTAAATACGACTGTACAGTTGCTTGAAAATGAAGTAGTCGTTGAAAGAAATTTCTTCGCTGAACAAAAACAGAAACTGTGTGTGATCAGAATGTCCGAAATGTGTTGCGCAAATAAATCCATTACACCTTTCAGATAAACTACATCTTATTGTGCTGTCGAAATTCATGAAGGGAATTAATTGCTATAAATAATTAATTGATGCTGCATGTGTTTGCCTGAGAGACATGAACAGAATACATTTGGGGTAATTGACAAGTTGTAGTTAGGAGGTTTTATTTTGACAAGAATGCATTTATGTTGTGCCACAACCATCCGACCTTGTCTAAGGTATCTGTTGTGGAATTGTGTGTATTTGGTGGATACGATCGTCGTATTGACATACGAACAGAATGAATTAACTGTGTTGAGTCGGTGGCACAGCTCGCCGACCATGCAGATGGTCCGGGGTTCGATCCACGGCCTACCCATACCTGATATCATTGGTCGGCCTGCTAAATTTGGACTATCGATATCCCATGCAAAAACAACAGTGGTTTGTGGAGAATAATATAATGCCATCATTTATTTCGTTGGCTTCTCATCAGCTGCTCGGAGCTTGCAATTTTTACATGATGTCAGTTGACAGAAGGTTCCGTAATTGCGGAATAAATGATGGTACCATCTTCTTATTCTGCACAAACCAATGTTGTTCTCGCTTTATTCAAATTCATCAAAGTGAATAAATGCATGACGTTTCTCTCCATAGTTGTACCAAAAGTACTGCATGGAGTCAAGCGGGAAGTCGACTTGTATTTTGACCATGATGTATAAAATTATACATATTCTGAGGTTTGCCCTAATCAGCTGACTGAGAAATGATGTTTGTTAAGCTTAGAAATTTTGTGTGAATCGTTTATACAAAGTAATACCATGTAATAACCGTAAAATTGAAACGACTCGGTCAAGGAGATGAGTTATGTTACCAGGATATAGAAGTACCTTTAATGTTGAATTGTAGATAAGGTGGGTAAGTTGTCTGAAGAAGCAAGTATTAATATAAACATGAGCTAGGTTGTTTCAGAGAAATAATCCTAAGGAGTTATTGAGCTATGTGAAAGGATTTTTGAGTCATTATCTGTATGTTGAGTCCCGTCAGATATGTTAACCAATGTGTTGGCTAAAGGTGACGTCTGTCTAATCTCTGTATGCGCAAGTACATGAACTAGCAATTATAAGACAGGATGGCGGAAGGTGTCTTTATAATCAATTAATATAGATGTGCTAGGATTATATTATAACATAAACTGAACTACATGAATGGATATGTGTAAAACTTAGGCACTGTGGTAGTAAGTAATTCCATATTAGTTTGTTCATTACATGGATATATCACACAGTCACTGAAACGATATTATTTACTCGATGACGGAGTTTCCAACACAATTTATTACCTTTCATAATCATATCACCAATTATAATCACAAGACTTCGAAACTTGACTTTTATAGTTTTCTTCGTTCTCTCCTATTTGTCGTCGTTGGGGTAGTGGAATCTTCCAGACATCTGGGTGGACAGGTGTTGAATCATTCCTATTGCACATATTCGCCTCAGTTGATTCGATAAGCAAAGCTCCCGCTTATTATTCTACCTCTTATTATTATTATTAATATTATTTTTTTTTTTAAAACTATCCTTTATCAGTAGGATTATCTTAACTCACTTCAGCACTATTATTATTATTGTTCTTATAACTATTACTATTGACATTACTCTGTTTGCATTTCTTGTTATATTCTCTAATGTCTAATTGTTTATCTAAGTGATGTAATTAAAGCGTAATGCAAGTTATCTTAATTTTGATCGCTCATACTCCCTCTCCCCTTATCTATTTGAATATGACATGGAAAACATTCGCACCTGTCTTTCTGCATGACTAATTCAATGTGGTTTATTTGCTCACTTATCAGTCTTTTATTTCCCAATGTAATTTCTAAAGTATGTATATATCCGTGTATGTAGAGTATTCAGTTGGGGAAGAGTTCTACCGAAATTTGATGAATTCATTAAATCCTGCTTTATTAACCTTTATTGCTTGTTTTAAATTCGTATCGGGAAAAAATGTTTTCAAAACTCCCGCTGTCAATCTATCCCTCCTCCCTGTTAAAGCAGACTTTAAAACTGTCAACTTATCCCATCATTCTATTGTATGGGTGCTTGTAATTGCATGTAGTGCTATACCGGAACTATTCTCTAGATTTCTTATCTTATTCATGTCAACTAGTCTAGATTTTGCTAGGTTTTACGCTCAGCTAGTCTGACTATCCCTGTCCTACTAGTTCGACCTATGTATTTGATCTGACAACCATTCAAGCAGGGTATTAGATCAACTAAATTGTTTTGTTTTAAAGGCTCCACAGGATTGATACTTTAACCGACAAAGCTTGTTTCTAATTGAGTTTGTGAGTTTGAATGCCACTTTTATTCCTGCCTTGTTAAGAATTCCTCGTAAGGTGGTTTCCGAGGTTCCTTCCTTGTATGGAATTACTGCTGATGATTTAGATTCCTTGTATGTTGGTGTTGTCATTATCTTGTGCATGTTTTACGTGCACGTCGTCATTAATATTACTATTATTATCACTATCACTACTATCATTATTTATTTTAAAATTTTTCTACATACTTCCTGATAAATTTATCAGGGTAATTATTAAGTTTCAAAGCTTCCCTTATATGCCTCACTTCCTGTCTTAGATTTTCCCTGATACTACTTAGTTTTTGTTCTCTGTCACTTAAACATTTCACCAATCCTTTTTTTACTGACAATTGGGTAAGATGGTCCAAAATCCAAATGTCGGTTTGAATGTGTGGGTGTGTGAGATTTCTGTAAACACCATTGTGCTTAACTTCCCATCTTCTTTCCTTTTTACGCTACAATCTAATAATGGAAGCTCACCTTCCTGACTTTCCAGTTCATAAGTGGATTGAATTGCCTCCACCTTAGAGTTGATGTGTTCGAAAAATCTGTCCATATCTTGTGTTCTAAGTACAGTGAATTTGTCATCTACATAACTCCACCATACTTTTGGGTTAGAGCTGACGTTTTGAAACGTTTTTTAAAAATCTCATGTCACTGGGTGGAGGGAGAGATTGTCAGCGGGAGCTTTGTTTATCGAATTAACTGAGGCGAATACGTGTAATAGGAATGATTCAACACCTGTCCACCCAGATTTTCGGAAAATTCTGCTACCCCAATGACGACAAATAGGAGAGAACAAAGAAAACCATATAACTCAAGTTTCGAAGTCGTGTGATTATAATTGGTGATATGATTATGAAAGGTAATAAATTGTGTTTGAAACCTTGTCATCGAGTATATAATACTGTTTCACTGTGTTGTGTTATATATCCATCTAATAAACAAACTAATATGGAATTACATGAATGGACAAAATGGAATATGACATGAAATTGCGAAAAGACTAAGAAAACGAGTAACTCAAAGTATTTTAAAACCACTACTCACTATTTAATCATACGATCTCTCTCTCTCGAGGATTTAAACGTTGTCATTATTAACATCGTGATCTCCAGGTACATGTCTATCTCAGCAGTGTTCATTCTACTATCCAGTGACACGCTTAGCGTTTTAGCAGGAAAACTCGGTCTATGTTATCCTTGATAACTGACGACTATTTCCCCACCTACGGTAGTACCAGATTCCCAATAGTCTCCTCTGCAACAAAATAAATTGACTTCCGTCTGTGTGTAAACCAATTCAGCATCCAAATACACGTACATCTCTCAGAGTCTAGAAATCTTTCAATAGCCAGTCAGATAAGTATGTGTCAAAAAATATTTGCTTTTCCACATAGATCCTCTTCAATGACTAAACTTTCA